GCCACTTTCCAAGTTAGGACTCTTGAAGGCACAAGTAGCAAGAACTGCTCCAGCCAAGCTTAAGGAATAAAGGGAAAAATAGGATTATGTGGATTCAATCATAGTTCAGAGAAGTCAAGAAATAATAAGACTGTCCTGAGGGAATAGATGAGAATCAGGAACTGAAAAATTGTAAGAAATCCAGGCAGGCCTCTCTGTATACCGCTCATCTCTACTCTTTCAGAATACCTGGTTCTTTTTTTTTTTTCTCCCACATACCGTAGACACCAACATCTCCCAATTTACATAGTGTGTGTCCAACTACTTAGAGAAAAACTGACCTCTCATTGCTTGCCTAATTCCAAATCCCTGGGGATGTGACTCTAAACAGCCCAGCTTGCTCCAGTCCCCATTCCCCAACCAGTGGGCAGTGTCCCAAAGCACGGACGGGGCGGGGTGCAGAGTTATCAGTCCCAAAGAGCTACTGGCCTCCTAGTGCTGTTGGCATGCGATCTGGGAGAAGACACAGTCCCCAGAAAACTCTGCGTTTGTGTATTGTGAGAGAGAAAGCTGGCCACACAGAACCACCCATGAGGGGACCACAATGGCTTTAGAGTATAAATTTACCATTTGTACATAACACAATCCCCCTCCCCCTCACCATGTAAACAAGCTGTGTTGACCAGCATCAGTTCAGAAGTCACTTATCTAGTCTGCCTTCTCTGGGCACTATAATCTAAACTGCAGTTGTCGGTGGGGTCCATGCGGGCCAATCATCCACCGCATCGATGCCTGCAAAGTGCTCTTTATGTTCAGGGCTTCATGAAGGCAACAGAAGGATATGTTGAAAATAATTAAGACCATGTTGTCTTAGTTTGTTTTGTGCTGCTATAACAGAATGCCATGGACTGACTTGTTTGTAAACAATAAACATTTCTTTGGCTCACAGTTCTGGAGGCTGAGAAGTCTAAGAAAGAGGGGCTGTATCTGGTGAGGGTTTTCTCGACAGATCATAGCACGGTAGAAGGCACCACATGGCAGGGGAGCATGGAAGAGAACCCAGAGGGGCCAAACCGGCTTTGCAACACACCGCTCTCACAGTGACCACTAACCCGTTCTCGAGGGCAGAGCCTCTGTGAGCTAGTCGCCACTCACAGGCTTCACCTCTCAACACTGCTGCACTGGGGGTTAAGTCTCCGACACATGCGCTGTGGGGGACACACTCAAACCAGTAGCACACACTACGATATGAGAATAGTGGGTAGAGCCAATCTGTGCTTTGGGGAATCTTTACAGCCACCCAATAGTAGCCTTCAGCTCCCACTAAGCTCCCTAAACAGATGCATAACCTAAGCACGGGCCGTGTGCTCACCATGCAAATGCAGCCTCGAGTTGGGTGTCCCAGCTGCCCACCTGCTTCCATATTGCCAACAGTAAGTCCTTCCTGAACCTGAATTCTAGAGCCACCTCTGTGCCCTATACATTTTACTATGCAGGTGAGTCCAGTATAATTATATTCATCCAATAATACTGTGGAAACCATTTTGGTATTAATTTCCAATTGCATCTTGCTAAGGAACAAGTAACAATTTTGAGCCAGTTTGATCAGGAAATTCTGTCTTATGGTCTTCTAGATACTGCAGCACTGATGTTCCCCTAATTCTTCCCTGGGTGTCCTACTAGGCTTTCCCTCTGCAGTTCCATTTGGAGTATTTGCTTGCCTGTACCTGGTCCTCATGCTCAGGCCCTGAACTAAAAGTTAACTTTGAGTAAGCCCATAAAAAAATCTCTATCAGGGGTGTGGTTAAGAAGGCTGGGGCTTACTCTAGCAAACTTAGCACACCATGGGTTGCTAGTTATTTATTATCAGAGAATGCCTTTCTCTTATTTAGGCAGCACTGCTGCTTTCTCTCCCTCTGTTTCTCTCTCTCCCTCTCCCTCTTCCCCCCATCATTTGGGATGTGTTATGGTTATTAGAGCATCTTTTGAAGCTGTGGTGTCAGCAAAGATGTGTTATCATACTCCTTATAATGGAAAGAGAAACTCTCAGATTGGTAAAATCTGGGTCCCCACCCACCCCCATTGTGCAGAAACATGAAAGCCTGGAAACTTCCTCTATCCTTCTATTACACACCCCATTGGGACTATAGCAGCCTGGTAGATTACCCTGTAACCATGTTATGTCTGTTCATGTCTGGACTACACTTGGATTTCCTACTACACATTTTTTCCTCATGAAGCTGGGAAAACACACTGACAGTAATGAATAGGTGAATGTCAATCAATTATAGCACTTTGGACACTCATGGCCAGAAGACAGAGTACTGGATCATCTGTCTCTTCCTTTTCTAAGTCCCTCATTTTTCAATCTGTCTACATCTAGCTAATACAATCCATCTTCCCTACACAAACACCAAACAGTTAAATCAAAACAGAAGATAAAATGGGGATATTTTCTTCTGAAATGTCCAAACAGGCTTTGACATCCTTCTCCCAAAATGTTTCAAGGTCTTTTGGCAGTGGAAGTTTTGTATTCAAAACTTTGGCATGGCGGTATCTTAGTCTGGGACCCTAAAAGTTTTCTGTAGCATTCTTTCTCATTTCCAGCTGGGAGCAGCTGGGAAATGCCATTTATTAAATAACTGCCCCAATTTACAGCCCACTCCCCATCCTGTCACCAGGAAATCACTAGAACTTCAAGGAGGAATACAATGAAGCCTGTCAGTTGTCATGAGCCTAGAAGAGGCCGGGTTTACTTTCAAGGACAAGACACTTTGCTTCTGCTATCCTACATTATTACGGGGTTGTTAAATAGGTGAGTATGGACTCCAAATGGCAAGGTAATTGACAACAGCCCTTCAAGTCCCTTGGTAAGATGTTTCTAGTGCTGTCTTTTATGTCTAATGCACAATTTGGGGGAGGAGGGATGGACAGGAGACTCTGAAGGACAAAAGTGAAATCACATTTGCCATTTCTTTCCTTTTCAGAGTAGGAACACCTAAGGAATGTAAAACAAACGCCGGATCTAGTTTGATGCAGAGTATGACTCAACCAAATAGCCCTCCAGGGACACAGGCAACTTCGTACTGTCTTTGTGATGGCTTTATTAACTGCACTTTTTGCCAATAAATGCAAGAGTCCATTTGAGGACAGCGGGCTCTCATTGCTCCAGGAAACATGGCTTAAGCCCTTTCCTCTAAGTCATCCCCTGCGCAGCATTCATGGGCAGCTGAGATGAGAAATTACTTAATGGGTACAATGTACATGATTTGGGTGGTGGTTACACTAAAAGCCCAAACTTCACCAGTACGTAATATATCCATGTAACACAACTTGTACCCCTTAAATCCATGTAACACAACTTGTACCCCTTAAAGAAGAGACTTCTTGAGATAGAGCTCTTGCCCTCGAAATGCAGCCCCACTCTGATAGAGTGGGGTTGTGGATGCTGTATGTGCTCTTCACATTTCCATTGTATGAGAACACGGAGACAGAGGGAGAGAGATCTTTTAAAAAGAATAAGAAAGAAGAGTTAAAAGCAAGAAAATTAACCATAGTCGGCAGCCACAGATGAGCGTGCACAGCTGAGCTTGGACTTTAGCCGACAGCTGTATATGACTTTTCTAATTTTTCATTTATCAAAATAAAATTGAGCACATTTAAAAATAACGTAATGAAAACATATATGTGTATGTTACCTATTCTGATTTACATGACAAGTGAAGCTGCCTGTAAACTAAAACAAGCTGTCAGTGCTTTCAAGCTCTCCTCGTCACACGAGAGCAAGACGGACGCGTCGACCGCAGCGCAGACCCCGTGCTGTGGGCGAGGTGTCGGGCCGGTGAGCGCCGTGCCGAAGTGGTTAAATGTGGTGGTTTATATGTCACATTAAGTATCCCTATAATATATTCCAGTCACTTCAGTTCTAGAGCAGTGCCTGGCACACAGTGGCCACTACACAAACATTTGTTAAATGAATGAGATTCTCAAACAATCACTAATTAAGCAGGTCAGTGTAAATGTCATTCATTATTCCAAAGAGATGGTGAGAAGATGGAAATGTTTTTCTTTGGAATTCAGCACTTTCAATATATGTTTAGATAAATGGCTTGCTGATTTTAAAATACTAATTTAGAAAAAAATGCCTAACTACCTCCCCTTTTATTTCTACAACACAAATAATCAATTGCAGTCTGCCCTTGCTGCCGTCTTCACCTCCTGGGTGGGGCAACTTCCACACAGCAGGTTGAATAGACGCTCAGCTCCCAAGGTCATGGGCAGAGATTGAGCCTGCGACTTCACCTGTTCTCTCTATTCCACTCCAAAATTTCAGACCTGCCCAAAAAAGAGCCAGGAACATGCTGGCAGACTGCCTCATCAATAATGTCTTCCAGGGTCATCAGGAAGCCCAGCCACCGCCTCTCAGAGCCCAGCCCAGACGCTAACTGCAGCGGCAGACAGAGCAGGCAGCAGGTGTTCAGGCAGCAGCATCGGGACAGTCAGAGCCAGACCAGACAGGAGCCTTCCGACTCAGCATCATCTGCACACAGCTCTCTCTTCTGCTTCTACCAACCACGCCGCTCTGTGCAGGTGGTTGGGTTTCCCTGGAGATTTTTCAGGGGTGTTCAAACAGCTGCCTATCTGAAGAAACCATAGTATTTACTCAGCAAAATGGGTACCACTGCTGTTTCTCCCCAAAGATTAGAAGAAAACCTAGCCTATAGTAGAACCCTGTCAAAATGTGTAGGATAGCTGGGGAAATAAATGACTACAGGGAGAGAAGCATGCTGACACTACATTTTCAACTGCCTGCCACAATTCTCAGTGTAACTCCCCAAAGTCATAGGCAGGAGACCCTTAGCCCTGTACTCCACTGCGATCTGGAATGCAAAGTCTGCTTTCCTGAGCTTCTAAGGGTTTTTGCCATACGAGTAATTTAGAGGTTTGAAATCCCTTCAGTTTCTTGCGTGAAAGCCATAATAGATGCGCATTTACTATGCCACAATAGAAAGAATGCAAACCTGGGAGTGAGCGGGCTGTCCTGGCTATGCTCCTTGCATGAGTCACAGCTCCTTTTCGGGCTTCAGTTTCCTCGTCTATAATTGAACATGAGAGGCTTTGACTAGATGATATTTTGAGGCCCCTCCTAGCATGAACATTCTCTGATAGGTTAGCGACTTTCTAGCCAGTAGCAATAAAACAGGTGATTGGGCCATTTTTCCAGCAATATGGCTGTTTCCAAATAGCTAGTGGTTATTAAAAATATAAATACATCTCTTAGTTCATTCATGGAGTTCTCCAAAATCAGCAGGTGATTTATTATATATATTTTCAACAGTCCAAAAGCCAGGGCTTACATTAACACCAGCCTCCCTCTACAGAGTACCTTTCATTCTAAAGTGCGTTACCTTTAGAATTGCCCTGAGACAACCATTCACACGGCAATGAAGTGCAACCATTTCACTAAGGAAAAAATCACCTATACCCGTGCACGCACCTGTGTGGCCAGACAGGCACTGGAACACAGACCTGCTGCGCTGATGGAGGAATTCCCAGGACGGAAAATGAGGCGATGGAAAGGCCCTTGGCAGGGATTAGGGCCCTGAATCCCACGCCTCGCGGGCACTTCCAGTGTGCGGTCTCACCACATCGCCTCGCCTCTGCTTCTCACGGGTGAAGTGGAGGTTCCCCCAGTGATTTCTAACGCTGGCTGTGCCGCAGGATTACCTATGACACCTTTCAAACACAAGATCCTGGACCCCATCTACTGTAAGTAAACCAGTATTTCTAAAGGTGGGGCTCAGTGGTATATGTCATGAGAAACCTTTCCACTGAATCCTGGCCACACAAAGAGCAGTGTTTGGAACCAAGCAGGTTTGGAGTTAGGTCCCTCTCAGTCCTGATTTTCTAGGATTCTGTTAATGCAACTTCTGAATGAATGAGTCCTGTATGTCCTAATGGTGTGTGATAAGATCTCTGTTAGCAGTGATGGGTCACTCCGAGGAGGATGAACAACCAAAAAACAGAAAGAAACCTTTATCTTCAGCGTTATGGTAATCTAGTCTTAATTACTGAATCTATTCAACAAATATTTGAGGACAATCTACTATACATCAGGAAATGCGGCAGACACTTGCCTCCCAGACCTCACAGTTGCGGGGAGACAGCCAGGCCGAGGCGCTGTGGCCGCAGGGTGACCGGGCTGCTGAAGGCAGTGCAGGCGTCAGGGCGTGCTGGGGCCCAGCACAGACTGCGGAAGACCAGGGAAGGCTTTCTGGAGGAAGAGACGTCTCAGCTGACACCTGAGGGGCAAGGACGGAATGGATGCATGTGTTCCAAGTGGAGGGAGCAGGCTGGGTGGAAGCAGGGAGCTTGGTGCCAGGAGGGCGGGCACTGAGAGTGTGGCTGGCACAGGAAGGGAGCTGGAGGCGAGCACAAGAGACAACGCGGGGAGCAGGAGGGAAACCAGGGCCCAGCAATGACCACCACTTTGGGAACTTGTCCACTCCTGGCAGGGCGTCTGGTATGTGCACCTGTGCACCCAGCTGGGCTTCCAGCCTTTCCCAGGGACACCCTCCCACCTGAGAGGCAATCAGCACAGCACAGGTGTGGCGAGGTGACACCATTTCTCTAAGTGTCCTCTTTGCCTGGACACACCATTCGTCAGATTGGAGGCTCCAGCGAAAGCTCTAGGGAGTGGAGGGTGGGGCTGCTCAGCCCAGGCTCAGGGCGAAGTCAGCATGTTCCCTGAGCTGAGCAGGAGGAGGCCCAGGTGAGGGTTGCCCACCGGGGTGTGCCAGAAAGGTGGGGGTCAGGGATCCCCATAGCCTTGTTCCACCCTCTCTACCCCCAAACACTGCTTTGACTAGTAGAAAACATAAAGATTTCCGCCCTACATGAGGCCCCTTTATTTTTTTACTTTTATAATTTTATTATGGTATAGTTTCAAATTTACAGAAAAAATTACAAGTACTTCCACATATCCTTCACCCAGATGTACCATGCATTAAAATTTTGCCTATATATGTTACTGCCCAAAGTTACATTTGTATGATTTTCTGAACCATTTGAGAGTAGTTACATACACCTCTTTACCACATTTCCATGTGTGTTTTCTCAGAACATTCACACATAATCACAGTGCAATTATCAACATTTAAAAAATTAACATTATTACAAAACTGTTCTTATCCAGAGTCCATATTCAATTTTGCCACCTCTCCCCAAAAGTATTCTTTATTGCTATTTTTCAAATAAAGGATCTAACCTAGGATAACACATTGCATTTAGTTGCCATATTGCTTTAGTTTACTTTAGTCGCTAGGGGTTCACTATGTACATTATTTCATTTCATCCTCACAACTGAGGTCAGAAATGTTTAAGTAATTTTCCCAAAGTCACAGAGATTAGAATCTTGATCTGTTTGATTCCAAAGAGTCTTCCCATGGCATTATATTGACCAAAATTAAGGCATTCTATTTCTCTAACAAGGAATCAAGTATCTCTCAGAACTAATAAAGACTATATCTGGTTTCTTGTCCAAGATCCATCACGTGTTAAATGTATGACCTTGGGGTGGCCACAAGTGTTGAGCCTCACTTTCCTCTTTTTAAAGTGAGAACAATACATTTGGCTACTAACCTCACAAGACTGCTGTGAGGGTCTAACAGAATGAGCGTGTAAAGGAAAATGACCTTTGTAAATTGTAAAGCTAGACGCATACTAAACCTACTAGTGGCACATTCACACTAAAGTGTAAATGACTGAAGTTAGATCCTACACTAAGTGAAGACAGAAAGGACAGAGCAAGAACTAACCAGGCCAAAATATTCACGCCAAAAAGAAAAGGGGCACAAAAACAGGCTGAGGACATTGGAAAGACATGTTTCAGCTACTTCCTAAATTTTCTGAACCAATTCTTCCTAGACCCAAGGTGGTATTTGCTCTGTTTCCACCTCCTGTTCACATATATGATATTTACTTAAGATTCCAGAATCCATAGACTCCTCTCCTCACCCCCAAACACACACACACACACACACACACACACACACACACACTGTCACTCCTCCATTTGCTTGGCGGAGAGTCTTCCTTCTCCAAATATGTATAAAACCACAAGGCCCAAAGCCGCTGTGGGCTGGCTGAGATCAAGGCTATTCTGGGGCAGCCAGTTTGCACGCTGATAGGGAAGGATTAATGAGACAGTCTCTGCTCATCCATTGCAATTAGAAACAACACTGGAACTATTCTGGGGCTATTTCTATGCAGGGAACTTGAACTGCTCATCAGCCCTCCGCACTCAGAGACCTGTGGGTAATTAGGGCCCTGTCAAATATAGTAGAGTCACCCAGAGCAGCCCATCTGCGCCCGTGCCTTGGGCTCTGACACCGTGTGCCCGCAGCTCACACTCCAACAGCAGTGAAGGGGGATTTAGCTTCGCCCTGGAGGACTTGGTTGTTGCTTAACTAAAGTTCAGCATGCCCTGGCCTTTCAGCACCCATGGGCTGTCAGCTACAATTCAGGAGTGAAAACTACATCAGCCCCAGGAAAGCATCCTGACATTTATGGGCCCTATTTGCCAAGCCACAGGTTTGCCACTAGCCCATCAAAAAGGACAGTTTAGCTTAGGATGAGGGAATGGAAGGAGTGCAGTGTGTCTGTAAATCTTATATGTGAACAAGAACTAGAAAAATGAACATTATTACAAAACTGTTCCTATCTGGAATCCATATTCAAATTTTGCCACCTGTTCCCAAAAGTGTTCTTTATTGCTATTTTTCTAATAAAGGATCTAACCCAGGATAACACATTGCATTTAGTTGCCATATTGCTTTAGTTTGCTTTAGTTGCTAAGGGTTCACTTATTTCATTCCATCCTCACAATTGAGGCTCAGAAATGTGGTAGGGCTCAAACAATGGGCAAGGAAAGATGCCACGGCACGTACCTACAACACCCTCTGACTCCAAGCCGTTGTGCGGACTCTGGGTCATTAGGAAGCACTCTTCTGTCCTTGAGGAGAGGCACTCTTAAGTCATAAGCTCACAGCACTCCAGATTTCAAAATACTCTGCAGCCATTAAGTTATTTTCTCATGAAACTTCTATGGATGTTGAGAAATAACAGGTATTATTAGCTCCATTTTACATTTTATCCTCTATTTTCTAGAAATCGGAGTGGGGTGGAGAGCCCACAATAGGTCCCAGGGAGAGCCGAGCTGAGTCCCCGTGGCCACTAGTCTTCGTGGTGGTCACGTCTGCGCAGCGTCCTCTGGCTTCTGCTGCTCGAAGTGTGGTCCTGGGATTGGCAGCAGCGGCACCCCTGAAAGCAGAGTAGAAAGGCAGAAGCTGAGGCCTCATCTACTGAACCAGAACTTGCCTTTTCACAAGGTACCCGGGGATCTATGGACAGTAAATACTCTCCAGGAAGCCCATTGCCTGGCATGTGGGGGGGGAGTAGTAAAAACATAGGCTTTCCTGAGCAGCTCAGCTAGCAGGCATTGCTCCTGCCTAAGAGAACTTGCAGCTTGGTAAGGGAGGTAGACACTAAGTAAGCAATCAGATAATTAATTGCGTAATTAAAATTGTGACGTGTGACAGAGAAAATACCCAGAAGGCTATATACAGCTCAGCTAGTTTGAGGGTCTATCAGGCCTTTTGTTTCAATGCCCTAGCTATTTTTTGTTTGCTTGTTTGCTGGTTGGTTTGTTTGAGTTTCCTAATGCCTGATGATTAGAAAATTTGACAACTTCTCAGGCTCCCAGGATGCATTTGAAGATCCTAAGGTGAATTTTGAGGCCAAGGCCTTATTCTTAAACCTCTCCATTCCATCAAGGCTCATAGGAGAGTTCAAAGGTTCTAGACTGAAAATGCCTATCCTCTAATTGATTTAGGGCATCCAAATGAGCCTGTGGTTACTGAGTGTCACAGTGGCACGTCCTGCACAAGTCTACAGCTCAGTGAGTGATGTCCTCAAGATGAGGAAGTGGCTTGGTGCATTGCTGCAGTGGTATAACTTTTCTCCGTTTTACACATTTTTCATTCATGCTAAATCTACCAGGCCTTGCAAAAATCCTCTAGAGTGGTAGCAGGGACCGTTTTATCCCAAGCAGATCCACAGGAATCAATTTTTAGTGGCCACTGGCTCCAGATAGGAAAGGAAATTGCTGAATTTCCAGATATTTGGGTGGCTGGCTAGCCAGGAAGGTCCCTGCCAGAGTTCAACAATGCTAAGACTCAGCAGCCAGGCACTCAGACCCTGCAGACCAGCAGCCGAGATGGGCCCAGAGTCTTCATCTCTGAAAAGTCATTTGGATTGTCATTTTTGGGTTCTTCATATTTTCCCAGCTGATGGGATTCAAGCAATCAAACCACCCACATGACTTCCTCTTTTAGCTGCAAAGTGCCAAGGGGTGGCAGACACTGCACTTTATCCCTTATGCCTATCTGAAGTCAGTTGGAATGAACTAGTATAGGCAGGGAAGATGCACGCAGACGGCGGCATCCCCGAGAGCCTACCCACATTACCAAGGCTGCCCACATAACCAAGAAGGACAGTTTTGATAAAGTGAGGGGCTACGTGTCTCCAAATCTGGATGGTAAACAGGTGCCATCTTTTCGCCTCATGTGGTCACTGAAGTTCTGTGGTTGCTGGGAGCTTCTCGTGTCCCCACACCAAGCACCAGCTTGTATTCCGCCACCAGCTGCCATGACCAGGGAAGGAGTTGCAGAAGAGGAGTGTCACATTGGCTCTTCTTACTTTTTCCTGAATAATTCTCTTCTGCCCATGGAAAAAACATAAGTGTCACTTTCCAGCCTATCTTCTTTGTTCATCTGTTTCTTTGACAGAGTTAGAGACCCTAGCCAGGCTTTGTAAATATACTGAGTATAGCAGTAAACAGGCAGACATTGTTCCTGCCTAACAGAACTTTCAGCATGGTGAGGAAGGTAGACACTAAATAAGCAATCAGAGAATTAATTTTGTAATTAAAACTGTGGCATGTGACAAAGAAAACACCCAGAAAGCTATATGCAGTGGTTGTTGGTAAACCAGCTCACAAAAACAAAAAGTCCCAATTTACAGCGTTTGCCTTTTCCGTGGTGTGAATGTCCCTGGTTTGAAGCTACCAATAGTCGCACTTACCAGCTCACACAGTTCTAGAATATCTACCAGCTAGCTCCCATTGGCCACTGTGAGCCAGCTTCATAACACCACTGGGTCCCACAGAGTATTACAGACAGGGACTAGACTGGACTATGGGCGTCAGAGCTTTTCTGATGAGGTGAAATTTAGACTGAGCTCTGCAAGGTCATCAGTAGTCAGAGAGGGGAAGAGTGAGGGCAAGATACTTACGTGCAGAGGCGACAGCTTCTGCAGAGACTGAGGTAAGGAGCATGGCGTTTGATATAAAGGGAGATCAATGCGCTGGAGCTCAGTGTGCCTCCAAACCAGACAAGGTAGAAACCATGATTATTATCCTCATTTTAGACATAGGAACTGAGCTGCAGGCAGGTTGAATGATCAAGTGACTCGCTTGAGGTCACACAACTGCAAAGCAGGGAAGGAGGATCTGAATCTTGGCAATCTCTCCCTAGAGGCTGCCTGCTATCGGCACTTGCTGCTGCCTCTGAGGCCGGATGGGCAGACGAGGTCCAAGCCATGCAGCAGCTAGTGAAGCCTGGAACTGGCCTCTCAGAGCGATCTCAAACTCGTTTCTCAAGGCATCTCTCTAGACTGGCAGTCCTTCACCCATTTGATTAAGTGACCTTCGGAAAATCTTACAAAAGACAGACACTCGTCACGAGGAGTGTGGTTAAGCACATACACACATTCACATGTGGTCTCTGAAAATCCACCCTGAATGTGTGCACAAATGAAAGCACACTTTCCAAACGATGCACCTTAATCTGTTTTGTTTTAGGGAATGGAAGAGTTTAACAGACAAACACCTTTATAATCTGAACGTGAGTCTATTATGAGAACGTTTATAATCTCCTTAGTGGTCCAAAGAAAAGTCCAAATATTCTTCAGGGAAAAAAAATCTCTGTGGGCTGCATCTTTCCCTCCTGTTTGCCTCCTGCCTACTCTCTATCTTCAATACTTCTTTGGATCTAGTTCTGGCTCTCTGCTTGGCATGTTATAAGAAATTTTTGGCCAGGTGCGGTGGCTCACGCCTGTAATCCTAGCTCTCTGGGAGGCCAAGGCGGGTGGATCGTTTGATTTCAGGAGTTCGAAACCAGCCTGAGCAAGAGCAAGACCCCGTTTCTACTATAAATAGAAAGAAATTAATTGGTCAACTAATATAGAGAGAAAAAATTAGCCGGGCATGGTGGCACATGCCTGTAGTCCCAGCTACTCGGGAGGCTGAGGCAGGAGGATCGCTTTAGCCCAGGAGTTTGAGGTTGCTGTGAGCTAGGCTGACGCCACGGCACTCACTCTAGCCTGGGCAACAAAGCGAGACTCTATCTCAAAAAAAAAAAAAAAGAAAGAAAGAAAGAAATTTTTGACCTTTTCTTGCTATTTCAGTAACGGAAGAGTTCATCTTTTACCAGAGCCCCAGGGCCATGTCATTTACAATACTGCCAGCAAGGGTCAGACTATGGTCACGAAATGTTGATTTTCATGTCAACCTGCTCCAGGGCAGTTCTATCCCATTTCCCTGTCCGTAAGGTGGGAATGTATTAGCACCCACGTTTAGCGCTTTCCTTAAAGACCCATATCCTGGTGCTACTTATGCCAAAATACGCCATAAAAATATTCATATGTATGGCAGTAACTCGATTCCTAGTAAGTCCACTGTGCATGTATTGAATTACATTTCAGAGTAAAGTTCTGATAGACGATAATTATACTTTGCTGTGACTTCTTCATAAATGTTTTTTTAATTTAAAGGAGATATTCAGGAACATATTGTGAGACCTTTGAAAAGAAAGTGCCACTTAAATGCAGAGCATTACAACTATAATAATAATTATTTTGCTTTTAGTTCACTGTTGATCCTGACATTGTCCCTCTCCTGACTTCCAACCAGCTGTTTTCTCCCTGCCACTCAAAACAAGGAAAGACAGCTTTAAGTTAGCTAAAGGCAAAGACAACAACAACAAAACAGATCTTTGAGGCACTGTCTGCCGCGGCAGCCCTATGAGGTGGAGGACAGCTTTTTGATACTGTCCCACATAAATGCGATGGCTCACGAAAACTCACACCAGTTTATAAGAGCTAATGTCTAAATATTCTGGATTTTTGTGAGCCGATAGTTGTTTTAGATGGCAAAAGGCAATGTGATGAAAATGCTCTGATCAGTCAGTAATAAAATACTGAACACACTGAACACAAGCAAGACACTGAGCTGGAAGCCACAGGAGAGACCAAGTGCTTCTCTGCTGTAACCTACAGTCTGAGCAGAGCATACAGGAGGCGGCCCTCAAGGGTATAGTCTTCTTAATGAACACTTACCACGATCTGGACTATGGAATGGAAAGGAAGATGAAAGATGCCAAGGAAGCAAACGTGTGTGGAGTGAACGAATGCATGGGTAAATGCTGGGGTGCAGTGGTGCCTGGCACAGGAAAGTTCAGTTCATGACAATTCCAGACACTCGTGTCCAGGTGAGGAGAAGGGAAACGTGTTCCTGATGACTGTCTTGGAACTGACATATATAAGGAGCAAGAACTAGAGGATGAATAATTGTGTTCTCCTCTTTGGGCCTTTTTCTCTACCCCCCTAGCTCCTTTTCCTGACTCAGCAGAGCACAAGTCATGTGAAATGCTGCTCGGTGGACCCCCGATGTTTAGTAGATCAGTGAAAATTAATATTTTCTCACAAAAACTCTCATCTGGGAGTGGTAATGTTTATCAGCCTCCTAGTTTTGTGCCAGTCACTGTGCGAGGCGCCTGCCCATGTTAGCCCCGCCAGTGCTCGCAGCCACCGTGTGGAACAGGACGCTCAGGATCAGGGAGGTCAATTGACTTGGTCGGCGCCGCAGGACTTGCACCCCCGCGCTGTGTATGTTTACTAGACAAGCGGAGCCCTGAAGAAAAGAGTGTGATGTTTGATCTAGACATTTCAGTTGACATTTGCCCTAAGAAGAAAACGTAATTATCCTAGAATGGAAACATGGTAGGGAAGAAAAGGATGACTGCCTCAAGTACTCACTTCCCCTTTTGAATTTCAGATTTATCTACTCATAAAATGGCTCAGAAGGAAACAATTATAATTTAAACATTTCTCAAAGTTCTCATATGTCACATATGCTTGCAGAGGGCTCGACAGCCTCGTGATAAAGTTGTGATCTTATTCTGGCACCTAACACGACAAAATTC